AACGCGACAGGGTCTCACTCGTACCACGCATCCTTAACCCGCGCGTCAATCTTGCTAACGAGACGAAGCGAGGCACGACGAACGATCCTGTTATACTTGAATGGATTTAATTGCGACCCCGGCTCGATCTTCGTTAGATTCATTGTTTCCCACCCATTTTTTACCCCCAAACAATGGCGCTCTTTGTCCCAGATTTATTTTTTGAAACATTCGGGTCAATTTAAAGATCCGTTGAATGAACGAACCTTTTAATTTATGACTCCAACGATTACTGCGCCTCGAGCTAAGTAATATTTACCGATAATCTCCTAAATCCCTTCCAAGGCAAGAAAGCTCTTGAATTTTGTATCATTTTTTATTCCAAATTTACACCGAAACGTTTTCACGCAATCTGTTCCTGAAAATTTAAAGTCTTAATTTCTTATTTACTGAATTTTATCACTCCGTGTCAACAGAAAATTTAATGGCCTTCAAAGTGATAATTATTTATTTCAACAGTTTCATTCAGGTCCGAATCCCATCTGGTTTACCTTCTTCGCAAGCAACCCTTTCAGCCCGCGGTCGGTCGAGAACCCGCCGTTTGCTCGTCATCAAAAGACGTGCAAACGTTGTCGCAGCCCTCGACAAGTCGGATTTGTCCGTTGAAATTCGCCGGTCCCGATCTAATAACGTCGCGATTGATTCGGTCAAGTGAATTCTGCACGCGTCACCCTTTCCCGATTTTCGTAATTCCCAAAATCGTATTCAACGAGTCAGCAGGTTCAGCTCGCATGTCGAAGTTTCTGAAGCTCCGCGGTTGCCGCAACCCAGCCGCGTGTTTTGCTTGTTCCTATTCACCGTTTCATCTATCGCGTAGAAGTGTTCGACATGGGTCAGAAAATTGGTATCAGATTCTCTGGAATTACGAGTGACGATATGAAATCGTTCGAGTGTAAAAATGGCCGAGAAACGGGGACGATTTTTCTATTTCTGCGTACGAGGTCTCGTTTCCTTTCTCTGAACCGTGGCTAGGGGTTCAAAGAGTTTGCCGAACTGTTTGACGACGGACGAAGGCGAGGGAGCGGACGTATGTAAATCGAGGGAAGCTTGGCAATTTCAGCCGATTCGATTTTTTTTTTCCCGAGGTAATTGGGGATTTTGTTTCGTCGATTGGCGAAACGACGGACGCCTGTCGCGTGCGGTGACGGGCATCAGGTGTGTTTGCGTTTGAAATTCGTTTCGTTGCGAAAAATTGCGCGCCGGTACCGATGGACGCGGATGGGAAACGTGTACACGTTGCCGAACAATCCATCGCGTGTAATTACCAATTTTTTCGAAGTCAATCATAAGGAAAATTCTGGTGATTTATTCAAAAATCGTTTATTCGTCGATAGTCGATTGATCGGCAATATTTTAATAATTAACGATACAATGAATCGATGATGAAACATCTAATTCAATCTACCATAATTGATTAAATAGCTAGCTAATTTAATCGTTGATTATGATTGACAATCAAATATACCATTTTCAATTCCCAAGCGATTCAAGTACGGTTCTGTGGTATAATAAACGTTTCATATATTTGCTCGATATCAATATATCGAAATATTGAATTAAATTGAACTATTCCTATACAAGCTTGAATCGTTGCTTTCGAAATACGATTACGAAAGAAAAAACAAAGTTGTTTTAAAGTGTAATGAAGTATAAAAAAAAAGTTATTAACCGTTTCGATGAAGCTGGTAATCCCGTTGGAAATACGGGCTTTGCAATGTTTAATTATTCCCGGTGACTCTCAAT